AACCTTAACAATGATAGATAGATAGATAGATAGATAGATAGATAGTTGGGAGACAGATAGATAGATAGATAGATAGATAGATAGATAGTTGGGAGACAGATAGATAGATAGATAGATAGATAGATAGATAGATAGTTGGGAGACAGATAGATAGATAGATAGATAGATAGATAGTGTTACGCTACTTGGGTGAATTGGATTGGAACTCAACTGCAGCTTGTAAAACTCCCTAATTACATGAGAGAAGATACGGAGAATCTTTAAAGTATCGATACTGTAGCTTTAAGAAAAGAGAGAATTGCTGGTAACTTGATTCAAACGAAGTTTTAATAAGTGTTAAACTTAAATGAATTGCATTTAGGCAATAATCCAATAAGAAGAAGTGCAACTTATCAACAACACAAAGTTCGTTATTAAGTATTTCCTCAGAGATGCATTAAGTAACATTCTTTAGGTTAATGAGAATAATCTTCAATAGTAACTTTAAGCAAGTAGCTAAGAATATTTGGGAAGCAAGAACAGTTCATAGTGAATAAGCATGATGGGAGTTGTCCTCCATATAATTAGTAGCTTGAAGCAGTGAAGATTTAGTAAGCAAGCATTAGTTCATTATTAAATGATATTGTAGACAAATAGCTGAAAGATATACTTAAGGTTAATATGAGTAGTCCTCCAATAGTTCAGAGATATGGTCCACTTGTAAAGTAAGTGAGTTTCCGTTCTCCAGTAATCCTTTATGGCATGCAGCAATCCATGCATTGGCTCAAAGGCTGGAACGGCTTGTCAGAGCTTATGGAGCCGGCGTGTAAGTCCGAAAGTAGGTCCCACGTTGCCAGAGCCTGTGGAGAGGTAAGTCTGGCGGAAGTAGCTCCCAGTATCACCAAGCACCGTCTCTCTGGCACGGTCTCCCTAAATACCATCAGAGCTGTGTCAGAGGGGGGCGGGGTCCGGCTCCGCACAGCGGAGTGCTGAACCCGGAAGTGTTACCGCATGACAGATAGATAGATAGATAGCTAGATAGATAGCTGGGAGACAGATAGATAGTTGGGAGATAGATAGATGGGTGGATAGATAGCGAGAGATAGATAGTAGATGATAGACAGTTAGATAGACAGTTGGGAGACAGATAGATAGATAGACAGACAGATAGATGATAGATAGTTGGGAGATAAATAGATAGATGGATAGATAGATAGACAGACATCCAGTCCATTAACATTGTATTTTTAATATTGGCATTTATTTGGCACCAACTTATTCCACAGCGCTTCACAATCATATCAATAGGTTAGTTTAGCAATAAATGAGACAAACTATTACAAAGTATCACAGGAAGGATAGGTTAATGAGAACCCTTTCAAAGTAGAGGAGCTGGGGTATAAAAGCAGCAGGGGGAAGGGGGGACAGGAACCGAGTGATGGGGGGGACAGTGGCAGAGATGGAAGGCGAGAGTGAACCCACTAATTAAGTTAAGAAAGAGATAGTTTTCACTGTTGGGTCACAATGTATTGACTGGCACAGCGAACAGAGAGAATTTATCCTCCCGTGGGATATATTTACAAACAGGTGTCCTTTCAAAGACAATTAATTTGTTTACTGGGCTTTTTGTTTGTTTGTTTTTGCTGAGTGTTTGAATTACTTTCTAAAAATAAGGAACGAGATTACCAGATCTTAATTTGCAAGCTTGGATTAAACAGGACACATTGATGCACAAGGCTACAACTTAATTAGTAATTAACGGCTGAGAGAAAAAAAAAAAATCATGTTTCCTGTAATTGTTTTGCAGGTTTCAACGAGAGCGATTAAACCGGCTCCAATAAGCACAAATAAAAGGTAATATAACTGGAATGATCCCTGTGGGTGTGATTGGTAAATCCAGCCTCGAAGAGGTTCTTAATACGAGATCGCCCCCAAAAAGCTACCGATCACAGCACTGGCGTTTCTGTGGCCTGGGAAATTCACTGAAATTGGAATTTTCAGATATTTAAAGTGAATTTTACATTTTAGGACATAATGGCTCGACTGGGAAAATTCTCCAAGTCAGCTAGGTATTCATTTTGACAATTTATTGTCTAGGTTTACCCATAATGCTGCATTCCGGTTTTTAATTCATGCACTTCACTATTTATTGAATAAATCCCAAAGTGGAGGAGCCCCAAATTCTGGATGGAGGGGAGCTAGAGGCGTTTGCATTACATCACTGTGTCGGCCAGCATGGAGTGATTTATCATTCAAAGTAAGTTCTCAATTTCTTTATTGTTTCCCTGTATTATTGAGCATGCATCCTGAATATTTACACACACTTGTCAATCTGTATTCAGGACCCACGGCTGCGGAGATTCTGTCTGCGACAATGTGATAGATGAGTAGAACCGAACACAGTGACCGTACCTACAAAAAATGATTCCAGGTCAAATGGAAAGGAGGTTATTCAATAAACATCGGACTGCAGTGAGTTAACAGCAGCAAAATATAGACAAAATTACTGATTTGGAAAAAATATATAATAAACTCGGCTGTAGTCACGGCTTTTACCGAGCAGTTTTTAGCTCAGCATAATTTCTGATGGCAGCCCTGATTATAATTGGTCCTTTACCGTCAAAATATACACTACGAGCAGTTATAATGAGACGTCCCTAAAACAAGAATCAAACTGGTTAATGGGGGCAGACCGTGAATAAAACCAGGTATTAATAAATTCTTGGCTTTACTGTCCATTAGATAAATCTACTCTACAAGTAAATAGCGCTTTATAGAATAAACTCCATTAAATTGCCCAGTGCAGATTTTTACGTGTAAGATAACCTCCATTTCTCTGTCTCTCATAAATCACTGACAGAGAGCAATGTATTTATCCCTGATAACTGCTAAATCCATGTAGATGTCCGGGAGTTTTTCTCTGGGGTACGCATATGTATAAAAGTATATTCATTATTCTGGAATAACAATCTCAGGGCTCGTTAGATTAACTACCGGCCACTAAACAGCAATTATGGAGAAATTACAAAAGAATTGTACATTTTAGGCTGAAACAACTTAATATAAGTTTTTTCACCAGTTGATCTTTTTTTGCCATAAATGTGGAATTCTCTAGTCAGTTCTCCGCTCTTGCTGGTTTTATGAATACACTCGAATGTTTTGCAAGCAATGAATTCCAGTAATCATTGATTTCACATCTTGCAATTATTCCTGATTATTAGGAACACAGTGTACGCTGGATAGTAGCTGCGATCCATTTTTGTATTGACTATTGTAACACTGTATCATTCCGCTTGATGATCAGACACTAGCCTGGGGTCTGTGACCTAGAGCAAGGTGGGCACACGGATCTCAGACTGACTGGGTTTTGCTCCACTGTGAGCCAGTTAATAGCCTGAGGCCACACAAGAGGGGGTGCAGCCTGGACACAAGGCCCAACTCCTGCATATTTAAAGCTCTCTCAAATTAAAAGGCTGGAACACGTGCTGCTTACCTAATGAGTTCAGATTTTTTTACCACGTTCAGCAGAAAAATCAAAGAAGCTGCAGAAAGACAGTGTGTCCATCAAGGTTAGAGACACTCTTGGTGGGCTGTTGGTGACCAGTAGGCCCTCTAGGGACCATCACTGTAAGAGGGTATATAAAATGTATATATCAGTAGTCCAATGTCATATGTATTACAAATACCACTACGAGTAGGTAGGAGCACAGCAGGACTTCACAGATCAAGTCTATTCTTGTAAGGAGACGTACGGTGGAGTTCGGATGTCTTAATGGAATCCGTTAACGGATTAACCCTGGGGCAGCTAGGATATATTGCATCGTGGACACCACTGGCACCTGACAGCGAAGCCAATGACACTACTTGGACCACCTTAAGGGGTGACCAGAGGAGCTGCTTCCTTGTGAGTGATTGTGGTGGCATCCCATGACATCTTCCATGACAAGTGATGGCAAAATGTACCTCATATGAGGATAACTAGAAAATTAAAATGGCTGCTGCCCTCACCTATATTTTGAGGTAGATAAGTGTTGTTCACTTTCCTGGGAATTAAAGAAATGACAAAGATTTTTAAAGTTTAGGACAAAATTGTTGAATTAAAAGAATAACCCGAGGTGGAGTTGTTTCTAATTAGCCTCATATGTAAAATTCCCTATAATTCCTGAATAATTTTAGGGGACTTGTGGATATAGCGGATTTGAAGACGTTCTCTAACTCAGCAGTTAGTAAATATGGTCAGAGGTTCCCAAATTTGTCTGTTCACCACAACCTGTGGTTTACGAAAATACATTCATAAAGATTACGATTTGTAAAGGAGCCTATGCCAGTATTTACCTTTGTGTTGCGGGTTTGCCCATAATTTCTGTATAAAGCCGAATAAAGAGCCCAAATCTTTCATTCTCTTGTTTTTGCCACTGAAAGTGAGCTTTTTCTATCTTTTCTCTGCAATATGTGAGAACATCGAGGATGCTTTTAATGGGAGAATTAGTGTGGTGCTCTGGGTCCAATTACTTGTTATATCTTTTGATAAATATTGTAAATGTTATAGATATTTCTTATGGCAGGCACTGAATCGTTATATTCAATTATTTAGACCTGAATGTTGTACAAACACGACGCAATACTTACTAGCGATGTTTCCACACAGGAGACTACGTGATTTATTTCTAAGTCAACACAAGGCCGCCTTCACTGCTAATGGGACCAACGCCATAACTTGACGGCCTCCTGTGAATATTTCTACCATTTTAAAAATGTTGGCCCAAATTGACAACATTTTGTGCTTCTGACAAACGAGGGCTAAACATGGCTGTCTTCACAGAGAAAGGATATTCCAGGAAACACTACAAAATGAAATTAAAGGAATATTCAAAGCACCATAACCACTACAGCCCACTGTTTAACTTGTTTTTGACAATTTACCTGGGACCTGCCACATCCACTGCTGTGTCAGAAGCTCCTGTCACACCTCCTTGATGATGCCATGGGATGAGGAGATGTAGAAAAAGGTAACTAATTACCTTTATTTTATTAATTTTATGAGTGGCCGATCCACCATACCACCCAACCTGAAACGAGAACAAAAACCATAACCATTGTGGAACAACAAACCCCTCACCCAAACATCCCCAACCTCCTTAAACAACCTGATGAGGGGGTATGTAAGAACGAAATGTATCGATTCCCACTGTCCTATCTGCTTGACTAGATCTTCACCAAGGCCCAGGTGGGACATCTCTGTTGCTGCCCCTATCCGGAAGGAATAGGTCCCAAACTCTAGGGGGTACAATCCCAACCTCCATAGACCTAATCAGAATACCCCCAAAAAACTAGAAGCGCAACAGAGAAGACCGTCTTCGTCAATCAAAAACGATCCCACAACTTCCGAACGAACCTTCCTAAATGCCATAGCACATGAAACCAGGCATAAGACCGACCCTGGCAAGGAAAACAACATGACCCAACACCCCTTCACAAACACGTTTGTCTTGGACCAGCACAGCTGAATCTGCAGCCTATCCTGAGATATCTCAACACCTGACAGCTGAACCCCCCCTGCCCCTGCCCGGCTCCTACTAACCAGCTCTCCAACCCGAAATGCCCCGATAAAAGCCCACACAAAAGCCACTGTGAACTGTACCACCTCGAAACCCGAGAAACACACTGTAGGTAATGCCATTACCAACCGCTGAAGGACGTTACCGGACGTCTACTATCCAACGAAGCCTTACCCTTCCGAAAACCTTTGGGAGCCTGCATGATGAGGAAATGTTTCGTCAGGTCTTCCTATCCATTAAACTTGAAAAGAAATGCTAGTGCCTGTCCAGCAAACAGATGTCACATAAACCATAGGAGCGAATCTAAACGCCCTTCCCTGGACTGTTGCCCCCCAGTACACCCCAAGACCTCCATACTTTGACGTAAGCTGCCCATGTCCCTGGAGCTAAAGACTGCCATATCAGTCCTCCACACAGGACGTCCACATCTCCTCCGGACATTCCGTCCTCTTGCGCACCCGGAGCCACCATCCGACAGCGCTCCCACTGTGAACGAGACAACGCATCAGCCACCACATTCAGATAGCCAGGCATGTGTCACGCCCGGAACACGATATTCAAAGACATGCACAACACAAAATGCTGAAGCAAATGCACTACGGGAACAGAGCATGCCGACCAGACTATTAATGGCATGAACCACAGCCAAATTATCTGTGAAAAAGACCATCCATTTGTTTCTCAGGTCTTCACCCCATAATGACAAAGCGACCAACGGGAACAACTCGATAAAGGCCAGGTTATCCATCATTATTTTCTCCATCCATTCTGCCGGCCACTGGGCCGCACACCATCGCTCAGCGAAATACGCACCAAAGCCCACACTGCCAGATTCATCCGTGAACAACTTGAGATCTGCAGAGGATGTCACCAGGTCCCAAAAGAAAACCCAACCGTTAAAGTCCCACCTAAAAGCGTCCCAATCCCCCCTTCATGGAGTTAGAGACCCGAACGTAATGGTGAGGGGATTGAATCCCACTTGTGGTCCTCGCCATAAACCGGTTGAAAACCCTCACCATGGGAATCACCCGACATGCAAAGTTAAGGCTTCCAAGTGATTTGAACAGACGCCACCTTTGCCCTAAGCGCGACCAGCTTGTCAGATGGAAAGCGACATTCCCCTGCTACTGAATCAATTTCTAGGCCTAAGAAACTGAGACAAGTTGTTGGGCCAACCGTTTTTTCTTTTTTTTATACTCCCCCTAAGCCCATCCCTACTAACCCCTTCTCAATTACTTCCTATGCCTGCCCCTAGCTCTTTCAGGGCCCATTTCACCCACTATGTTATTCCATGGGCTACAGGTCTAAAGGGATATGGACATTACAATGTAACTGCTGTCTGTAGAATACTCAGGGAGCACAGCAGCTCTCAATGGAGGGGGCAATTAACCAAACCCCCCCAATATCTTTTACTCTAAAGGGACTTTAAAACTCTGCAAAGTAGCGTACCACTTTAAATGCCGGAGGTGCGGTGACAGAGTGGAGCTGTGCTTTCCCTGCAGTGATTATGTAAGTTTTTGTACCCTCTAGGGAGCAGGTGACAAACTCAGTCATGTGTCTGCGGGTGACGTGTGACCTGGGTCACTGCGCATTCCTCGGAAGTGGCTTTCATCCATCTGACCTCTTTAATTTCAGTGCTAGCAATCTCCCCTAGAAATCAGCAATCTATTTGAGAAAACTCTGAAGAGGTGACCTAAATCTGCCTTCTCCTCGATTTTCTTTAGCAGGAAGGGGGGTGAAGTAGCATTTCATAACGTTGAAACCTTTGCGTTTAATGACTTTGTGGGGGACTTGCTCACAGGACACGATATTTACATCAAATTTAATGTGAAGGGAGTGACCCAGCAAACTGAGAGCATCCAAAAACTGCCAAAATTCTTCACACGGAGGCCAAGGGGTGAAATCCCTCTCTCAAGCGTCTAATTATCTCCCTGTTTGTAGATGAGATGGTGACGATATCTATGAAAATGAAAAGTAAGTTAAAAGAAAGCAGACTAAACAGTTAGTCATTCCATTATTATTGTCGTCTTTTAATACGAGATAAAAGTATTAGTTAATGAACCAGTTGCTGTATCAGTGCAACCCTCAGGGATGATAATTCTATTCCTGGCAGGGTACATTCTTCCAAACTTGATACCTGGAGTTGGGTAAATGGTGATGTCTGTTAATCAGTTGCAAATGAGCACACAATATAATGTGACCTCAAAATACATAACATATACATAGTCGCCTTTCCAGCATATACGAGATAAACCCAAACCCCCCCACCCCCCACCACAAATACTTTTTTTTTAAAGGAAAATTGTCACAGCTTTATTAATAAATAAAGTTAAAATATTTTAGGGTCATTGTCACATATTAACATAACATATCCCCCCCAACTCCGTTAACAATACTACGCCAGACAATGACCCACAACACAATAAGTAAAACCACATTAGTTATTGTGAGGCGAACCAGCAGGACCCACCAGGAGGAAATCGTCCAAGTAATGCACTACCGATGTGCCGCCCGCAGCCGAGGCCACAGGCCAGTGCGAAAAGGTACTGAGGAATTCAAAGAAAGCGCTAAGAACTTATTCATGTAATAAGCCCCATCAAACGTAAAATCCATCCACCGAAACGAAGAAGGGTGTGGAGAGAGAAGGCGAAAAGCAGACTCAATGTCAAGCTTTGCCAACAAAGCCCCCTGGTCCGCTTGTCAGACCAACGCCACAGCATCATCAAACAGCTGTTAGTGGACTGAACTAAGGGTTGGGACAATGGCGTCATTAACTGACGCCCCATCAGGGTATGACATGTGTTGAATGAGCCTAAACTTGCTGGGCTCCTTTTTGGGCACTACCCTCGATGGTGAGATTACCAAGTCTTCTATAGATAGGAGAGCAAAGGGGCCAGCTATCCTACCCAGAGAGACCTCCTTAGCTAGTTTGTCCCTGACCAATTGGGGCAAAGAATAGGCCGACTGAAGATTCCTAGGAGGAATCTTAGCAAAGGAGTAACCCGCAACCGGGAAAACTCTCCCGAAGACCAGCCAGAAGCCATTCAGCTTGCTGCCGGGGAGGGTAAAAAGTCAGCCACCTCTTACTTGCATCCACCTTCAGCGGTGTTGGAGCCTTTGAGAGAGGAGAATAAGCGACCAGGGGAAGCCTGCGACTAAGAAGGTCGCTTGCACTCAACACTCAACTCCGGGATGGCCACCCCCACAGAATCTGCAGACATCACGAAAGGAGCAAGCAGCTGCCTTGTCACATTGCTTATACTGGAATTTCCAGCATTCACGCCCCTTCCGCCCGCCACAGCGAAAAGCGCGGGAATACTGGGGAAAAATGCCACCCTCAGGAGGCAAGACCTTCTCTGGCCCCAAGTGAGACCACAGGTGCATATCCTGCACACCAAAGGACAGAGAGGGATTATTAGCCATATGCCTCCTAAACATCGAATCATACTCCTTCCATGCCCCTTCCCTAAAATGACGATAAATATAATCTATCGTCTTCATGTACTTGATGACAGGAATTGCCTTTGCTGGATGCTTCTCCAAGTGACAGGAAGCCAGCACCCGAAAGCAGCACTGCCACTCGCCAAATGTTTCTAGGAGTTTGGGACGTTTTGAACCCGACTCACCGTCAGCTCCCACCTTAATCCAAAAGCCTCAGAAGAGAGCTCAAAAATGCGGACATATTTCAACTCCCAAATCTTTGTCTTCATCTTGGACTTGAGGTGCGCATGCACAGGGGTACAAGTCCTCTTGAATGGCTGCCTGCGCAGCAACAAATCTTGGCCAAGGGAAGATGAGGGGGAAGTCAGTTGTGCGGAGGTCGGAACAGAGCCGCCCCCAAGACTCCCTTTACCTTGCGCTAGCAACAATTTCCTGAACATGCGAAACATCAATTTCTGACCCCTAGAGGACAAGCCTAATACTCCTTCATCGTCCGACCCATAGTCTTCAGATGATAAGGATAAATCTAAACTGGCAAATGTAGGAAGAAAAGACTCACCAACTGGCACAGCCACCTGTAATCCCAACTCCAGAGGAACAGCAACACCCGTCTGAGACGATCCAGCCACTGTAGGAACGGGGCAAGCTGTATCCGACCTCTGCGGTAACTGAACTTGACCTGTGGACACTCTGGATACGCTGCGAGTGGAGGGACATTCCATGTTTCTCAGTACCTCCTGCAAAACAGAAGATAAGATGGGAGCACCGAGGACAGAGGACACAGCAGCCGCTGGATCAACAGAAGTAGAAGCATGAGGCGTTTGGACCTGCCAGGGGTCTGCCACATACCCAGAGATAGGGAGGGAGTAGAGGGCAGGGGCACTAGAGGCCCCACGGGCAAGAGGGAGATGGGGAGCAGGGGTGACCTTGGCTGTCTGAGTAAAACACAGCCCAGGCAGAAAGAGCATGGGAGGGCAGGGAGGCAAACTGAGCAGCCAAGTGCTGCAAGGCCTCAGCTGAAAGGGGGGAGGGAAGAAGGGGATACGGGAGTGGGTTGGAAAGAAGCAGGGGACAGGGAAGGAAGGACAGGAGGGGGGAAATGAAGCTGAACAGGAGCAGAAGGATTGGAAGAGACATAAAGGGAAGACACCTTTGAAACAGGAGGAGTGGAGATAGGAGGAAATTATAGCAGGTTGGAGATAACTCCTCAATACTCATCTCTTGTTCGAGAAGAGGGAGGAATGGAGTCTCTGAACCTCTTTGGGGGCCTACCAAGCGACGAGACCTTTCCATGCTCAAGAGGAATCCACCAGACCAGAACTTCAGGAGACAGCAGGAACCAAAAGGAGTGATAGGAACCAGAGGAGCTTCTTAAAAGGTAAGGTGAGGCCCCTCCCATCATACTGGAACATTTTACTGCCTAAACTCCAGTCCCAGGAGAAGATCCCCTAATTACGTTTCAGTCCCACTAGGGGGCCCTACACTCCCAGCATGTTCGTTAACCCTGGTCGTTTAGAGAATGATTTGGTCTGGATTTGAGTTCCTATTTATTGAATAACCACAAATAATGCCTACAATGTGATAATGGACACGTGCACCCAGCTGCTGGTGTCATTCTATAGAGGAGTTCGATTTGTCATCGCCATAGGATTTACTGGGATACATTTATTTATAATGACAGAATTGTGGGTTTACTTACTGGACTCGAATTGTAGTAAACAGAAATCCAAATGAGCAAAACTAAGGCAGAAAAAATATCTGATTTGTAGATAAAAAAAAGTCTTCCATTCTCTAATAGTTAGTTACACCCTGGTCTTTTACATGGAACTTTCTGTTTGCTACAATGTGTAGATTAGTGAATAAACCCATTAAATGAGACAGACTGCTGGGGAGCACTTTTCATGTACTTGATAACAGCACAGAGAGCTTATAATTGTCAGGAAGGCTGGGAGCTGTATGGGGGGGCCTGAGCTGAGTGTGTCGGTCTCTGCACTGTATACCTGCATACCTCCCAAGTGTCCCTATTTTTGGCCCAGATCCCTCTCAGATATAACAGAGCTCCACAGCAATAATACTCCCAGTAATGTGTCTGAGTGTATAACAGAGCTCTACAGCAATAATACTCCCAGTAATGTGTCCGAGTGTATAACAGAGCTCCACAGCAATAATACTCCCAGTAATGTGTCTGAGTGTATAACAGAGCTCCACAGCAATAATACTCAGAGTAATGTGTCCGAGTGTATAACAGAGCTCCTCAGCAATAATACTCCCAGTAATGTGTCCTAGTGTATAACAGAGCTCCACAGCAATAATACTCCCAGTAATGTGTCTGAGTGTATAACAGAGCTCCACGGCAATAATACTCCCAGTAATGTGTCTGAGTGTATAACAGAGCTCCACGGCAATAATACTCCTAGTAATGTGTCTTTAAACTACAATAAATGTGTTTAGAAATCAGTCTGTGGAAATGAGATACATTGTTCTTATTATAAATTACATTTTAGTTCTATTAATTGTTATTAGTAAGATAGAACAGCCCCGCCCTTGTCCACACCCTCTCACATCCCTAAAATGAAAGCCTCCCCCTTTTTCCGTGTAAAATGTTGGGGGGAAACAAACCAACCAACGAGTAACCCGGCTCCACTCTAACCACGAAAAACTGTCAAAATCCAGACGCTTCATAAAAATTCTACATCTTATTATCCAGCTGTGCTATTTATCTTATTTCATTCCAGTAAAATTAAAGCTGGTTACTGTATAGAAAGTGCTGGGGATTTATCTATATTAATCTTTTTCTTATTCTGCTTTTTTACCCCATGGGGCAGATCTGTCTCTGTTTTTACTCCCTACCGAGGTTTCATACAAACACAGTTCCATTAACCCTTTCAAGACAAGACTCTTTTTTTTTTTCCAGTCCTCAGGCTTTTGTTCCTGAAATGGTTAATGGAGGGTGTGGTGGATTGTGGATTGGTGTGGGGGGGGGGTCGTATTAACTAAAAATGTCTGTGTGAAACTTGACTTTACAGAGCACCCAGACTAGTGGCGGAACTACCTGCGGACCCCTGCGCCACCATGTGTTGTGGCCCTGGCCGCACGTTAACTGGCCCATCGGGTGGCCCTTGCTGTTAGGGCCAGCCGATGGAAATTAATTTCAAGGGGGTCCGCTCAGCCCAGTGGCGCTTTAACAGCACGACCGGGCCCCCTGAGATGACATTAGAGCTGGGAGGAAGTGACAGCCCCGGTCACTCCTCCTAGCTTATACAGGAGCCACGTGGGAGGAAGGAGGGGAGGGAGTCATAGTAGGAACTCTGACTCCCATCAGGCTGATCCACTGGATCCCAGCGAAAGTTGCTATCCTGCACCTAAAAGGTAGGAAACAGGAGGGTGACTAAAACATTTTGTATATGTGTGTGTGTGCGCAGTATGTCTGTCTGTGTCTCTGTATATGTGTGTGTGTCTATGTTTGCTTCTGCATGTGTATCTGTATGTTTGCATGTGTGGGTGGGGGCAACATATGGGGATGTGGTGGGGTA